CATGCATCTGCACGTGTGTGACTTAATACACGGCATTGTTGCCCTCCCTTGTTTCGATGATGGGCTAGTATCGATCAGACGCGGGGATTTTGATCAATACACTTCAACGATTGACTCGGCTATTCATCAGCAGTTTTTTACTAGCGTTGGTGTTCCTCAGTTCGGATGGTGGTCTGCTCAGCGTAAATGACGTTAACCTTGCTCCCACCTCTAGGAAGATAGGCACCCGATGATAGCGCTCTGACGATCTTTAATGGGGTAGTTAACGTATTTCGACCCTTCGTAGTCGAACGTATTCACCGGTTTTCAAGATTTTTCCAATACACCTATATTTCCTCTGAAAGCCGTCCCTTTCTGACATCGGGAAGTTAAAATACCCTCTGACTGCCTTCCAAACATTAATTCAGCGGGCGTTCTTCAACAACAATGAGGCTTCATCCAGTAGTTCGCCGGAGCAGCATTAAGCCGTCTTCCCAACTTTCTTCTTAGAGAATGATCACCTGACTACCCTCATTTAGTGTTCTGTCTGTGCGCTCATCCATTCCTTACGTTGCAAATTTGCAGGTATTTTCCTGACACGTTTGATGAAATTATCTCTCAGAAACGTAACAAACTGCTTGGTATTGTGGATCTTTATTAGTGGCGATTTCTTGCGACGATTCAAAAAGTTGAAAGGGCTAACGAAGCCACTTAATTTTAACACGGATGTAACCACCCGCACACATACTGCAACACCTTGGACTACTTTGACCAAAGTCAAATGACGACCAGTGTATTTTTTACGTTTGGAACTTGATCGAATCCTCCCACGTCGACCGCAGTCACACAGGATACTCGACAGGCCGAAATGGAGTTTGGAGAGATTTAACGCTCTCATGTGAGTGAGCTGATAAACTGGCTGACTGACTGGCTCATGTGAATGTTCGCAAGGGGCACATTCTTACTTCGCCTCCTTGATCGAAGCTTCCGGTTGCAGCCACCAGAAAAAGTTCCGAATACGGACCTTCGTACGTACAGTTTCAAGGTCGCTTTCACGGGCACATGAGCAATAGATTTCCACGAATGAAACACGTTTGCAGACGGTGAAATGTGTGGGAGAGGTTACAAGTAATGCTCAAGCCCTCACAAACAAAAACCTGTATCTTGGCTTGCATTCGAATTTGCTGTCAGTGTCGCTTCAGCTGATTCTTACTTTGCACTGCAATTGTTCAACGCCAGTCAGTATAGAGTATCGGCCGCCTGGTAATTTCTCAGCCAGGTACTGAACATCAAAATCGTAGCTGGGCATCATCGGAAGATTGGAATTGGCCGATGGATTTTACGTTCTCGTCCTGAGAGCTGGATGATTCGTGATTTGAGTGAAAGATCATCCGAATGAGTATAAATGGTACTTGCCATAGACCCACACAAGTGCCAGTACCTTATTTCTTCACATGAGAGCAATCCCAAATCTGTTGCTGTGCTTAACATCTGACCTTGTAGTTTCTGTCCCATGGCCTGCATCGGATGCACCAGTAGATGAGAAATTGGGGTGTGATAGCAACAATTATTTCAGGAACGACCATGATCTGGATGAAGGAAGAGGCATCTAGTTTGGGACACATCTACACCCACGCACCGGTTGCTTTATCCCTTGCTCTTCTTTCGGTCTACTGTATTTTTGTATTACTAACGTAAGGGCTCGTAATGAAATACAAAAAATAGCTGCTAACTCAGGAACTATAGTTTTCTCATTCGTAAATGAAGACTTTCAATACGTTGCAAAGGTTGAGCTAGCAACTAAAACGTAAAGAACGGGCTCTATTTTCTTTATGGCAACAGCTCATCAGCAGTGCTAATTACAGGATGTTTTGAGGGTCCGAACTGCAATGTCCACTTTGGTGCACAGTAAAACTCGTTTGACTGACAGTTGGCCAGCGTGTACCAGACGCATCGTATCCGAATACGTGAACTTGTTCGTGACTACTGGTTAGATTGAAAGTCTGATTTCGACCTCCCATTCTTTACAAACCCATGCTCCAAAGGATCACACGATCATTTTTATGTCTCTTAGTACTAGAAAACCGTTGTGTTTTATCCGAGTGCGCAACACTTTGGTCCGCAGCACAGTCATTATAGTTACCTTCATTGAAATAAGCGGCTCACGAATCTGGAAGGAATTTCGTACTGACAACCCTTCTGCGTGACTGACTCGAACTTACGCAACGCCCTTCGTATTTTCATCAGTCTGAGCCTGTGGTCGGTAGAACATTGCCATCCCCGTGCAGATTCATCCAGCAGAGTTTATTCGTTCTTCACCTCGCGAGCCGCATAATCAGGAACAAGAAAATTCACACTGCTGCACGTCTCAACATGCGCTCATGTGACCGTCGCTGACCCTTTTCTCTGCCCTCCCACTTTATCACAGTGACCTGAATTGACCCCGTTACGTATGACCTAGGGTAGCTGAATAATGTCCATGCCCCTGACTTTACAAAATACCACGCGTAGCCAGGGCAAACTCAACACCCCAACCGAATGTTCAAACAAATTAGAATGTAGCTTATCCATGCAGATACAGATACTGACGGATTCGGCCATGTTCACCACTGAGGCAGGCACCAGATGCACTTTTTGAAAAATCTCGCTTACATTATAGTCTCACTTGTAGTGTAAATGGAAGACTTCCAGCGGACACTCATAGAATGAACGCACGTGAATAACTGCAGGTGATAATTTTCATTACTGTTAGGTCCTTATTGGTGACTCCACATGTATACAACCTTTTGCAAAGGGAGACGGGTATGGTGCCCGGAAGGGGTTCGCGATCACAAGTCAACAGTGCTATCTGCTGGATCATCTAGGTCAGCTTCACTTGAGAACTGTAATCGTTTTGCTCAAGGAAGCAATTGATTCATGATCACATAAATTTCAAGCGTGTACGCCTGGTTTCGGCGAAAAAATGCAACTGGCTGTCGACAATCAAACCCCGGGAAATACAAGCGAGTAGTATTCAACTCCAACCTAGAAACCATCATAACCGAACCACTTCTTATCAATGAACTGTATAATTTCGTATAATTTCGTAAACTGTATAATTTTGTCTTCCAGTAATCCATATTTTTACTCAGCTACTGGCTATGTGCCGTTTTACGGTGTCATGCTGCAACTTGTTCACAGTCATTTTCATCCTCAGCAATGTATTTCAGTGGAGTTTCAGTCTTAATAATTTCGTGATGCTATTCCACAGCTCTAGTTCTGTAAGCAGCTGGGTCGGGTGCTTCCAACATGGCCCTTGTACAGACTATTTGATACGTTCAAGGACGCAAAATTAACTAACTGGGTGTGGATTGCATTCGCCGTGCCCTGACTTACTTGCCGTGCTAGCCACGACTAAATGCAATCAAGTTTCCTGTCTTGCCTTCTGTAAACTAATTGCAGGGTACAAGTCGCTCTCAGCCAGTGAGACGGATTATCAGTTATCAACCATGTCCCAAGGGTACATTGGTTACAGTTTCTACAATTACTGTAGCATTCCTTTAGTGCATAGGCGCCATGTCACACGAAAGAAGCACAAGGTCTGAGGTTCTGTCAGGTTGCCCAAGTTTAGGCACACAGTCGATACGCTGGAGTTTAGTTCGACCCTCCGGTCTGTAAGTTCGCTCCTTAAACACTGAGCTATCTCGAGCTCGAAAGAAGGAGAGCATGGGAGATGCTGCCACGCGTTTGGAGGCGATGACATGTTCAGTTAGTTCGAGAACTGGGTATCTACGCATTGAAGTTAATAGCTTGGACGCGTTATGGACCCATTTCTACCAGTGTCATCAAGACTTCGATTATGGGACACATTGATGATCATGGTACAGCCTTTCTACCAATGATGTTCATTGTTTAACTTATAACCCTGGTCGCTCACGTTATCACTTTACTTCGAAACCTACTGCGTGATGATGGGTGGGATTTTTGGATGTCTTGAATCGCTCCTCGCTTCAGTAATGAGGTATTCATAAGTGTTCTTCCGTCTTTTCCCATCTAGACTTCAAAGCTATCGCCCATAATTCTCCTCGTCATTTTTTAATGACAATGATCACCATGGGCAAAAAACGTCGATCCTGCAGTTAGTTCACTACCAAAGTCCTGAAGTGGAAAATAAATGGATTTTATGGTGACCTAGCTCAAGCCTTCGAACCTACACCCCCAACAGCCACTTGGACAACCTGGATGAAACTGGCAATACGAATTTTATGGAAATTAATTAGTGACTCGTACAAGAGTTTTATTCAATGCTGATGGTTGGTTTGAACGGCTCTCCGCACAACTAATGCACATCCGCCTTTGGCACAGTGACCAAACCAATAACCTCCGTAGAGATGGGTTTCGGTCTTCCGGCGCTTGACCCACCCAAATCGAATTAATTTGCGCTGTCGAAGTAAACAGGTGACCGCGTAGTGCTGCGCTCAACAGCATCGGTCTACCAAGTCCTGTGAACCTCCTGACAGGCTTTATTCGGAGTGATAGCTCGTTCTCCCATAATCAGTCAAGTCCTACTTGTGTGTATCGATGCCCGTCTTTTAATCCAATGGCATTAGTATTTGAAAAAGACAAACATTATTGAATCGGTAATAAAAAAGTGGGTGCTTGTAGGATACGTTTTATCGGCCAACGAGGATCTACCTTCATGGCAGTTAGCACGACGGTTTGAGTTTGCCTAGTGATTTTCGGTCCAGTCATGAAATGCCAACGTTGTGGACTAGGTTTGACGGTATGACCACAAGAGTTTCCCCTATTTGGCGCCCTATTCATGGGAATCAGAATTACTCTCACAAATTGCTCATTCCTAGTGTTATTCTAGACTTCATATTCTATGGGTTATATGTAAAACTCTCGCTTTGACCTGATGAATCATGATCAGAGCTTCATATTCGCCTGTGACAGGGTTCTCAGCGGCCAATCGTCAATCCTGTGGAGGTGAATTCAAATAACTTGTTTTTACCCCGTGTTCGATCGGTTTTTCTCAACAGATTGCCTCTACCGGACTCCTGGCGTGCCTTACAAGACTCTGAACTCTCCAGAGTGGCCGGGATCCCAGGATGCATTTTTGTACACGGTACTGGTCATTTAGGAATGAATAAAACCCGTGAGGGCGCAATCGAAATGGCCCGGTCGGTGGTACGTGAATTCAAAGCGAAGGAATTGGCACTGTCGAATACACCACTCCCTCCGCCTACATTCAAACGTGGTCGTGGAGCGAAGACTGCCGTTCGGGGTAGCCGGTTCCGTTAACTTTCATTCCCTTCCTGTAAACCACCCCCCAGCTCCAAGTGCATTCCCATCCGAGCGCTGTGACCATCTTCTGTTTTTTGCCGGAGTCTTGATATTTCCCTTTAAGTTGTTTGCTACCCTGAGATAGTTATGGTACGTTTTTCCCTCTTTCTGAATATTTTACGTTTGTTTTCGACCACTAATTTTTCACAGCTATCTCTTGATGTATAGAGAACGAGGGAAATAGAGGAAAAACCACTATTATAATTCCCGGTCTAAACATCAAACTTCGCCTTCATCTCAGAGTCAGATTGTCATTGATTTTGATGCAACCTTTGTTTAGTACAACCATCCTCCGTTCCGGCCTCTTCATTCCAGATGGTTGGAAATGTACGCGCCTGTGCATGTGTGGGTCCACATCAAGCAACCTTTTTTCTACGCAACCTCTCTTACAGTTCACCCCTATTACGCGTACACTCTTCTCTGTCCGTTATTTTTGAAACTGACTCATTATAATTTTCCAGCCGTTATTTTGGGCTTAGTCCTAGTGGGTGTTAGGTCTGTGTTTCCTAGTCCTGATAGAGTGTACTGTGTCAGAGCTTTATGGTGTTCAAGTGTAAGAATAATAATCCCTCAGATGTAGCATCCATTCGGTGCCTAGCTGCCATGCCATCCGCTGGAAGCACGCGGGCTGAGGTACTTCCAGGTTGTTCAAGTGTAGTCAGGGGTAGTCGAAGTGTCAGACCATCCGCTCAGTAAGTTCGAAGTGTGATCCGTCTTGGAACTCTAACTCACAAGATCTTGTTAAAATGCATAACATAACCACTTCAAATTTTGTTGGTTCCTGTAGGCGGCCACTTGTTTTAGTTCAGTTCGATTCCACCAGAGTGAGGTCAGGAAGAACCGAAGTGAAGGTCTGCAGTAAGTTCTCATTGTAGTTCCGTGGGTACCCTGTGATGTAGAACCGAACTAGTCGAATTCAGTACAACGGACATCAAGCTGCTCACCATCCCGTCACTTGAGGGGTTTTAATGTGCTAGGATTTTTAGTATGTAGAGCCCTGTTCTATGGTTGTTGCGTCGGTATGAGGCACTGGAATCAAACCAGGATCTGACGGTGTGATCAGCCTAGTTGCACTGTGTTTTGTACCTTAACACATTCGTATGAATGCAGTACGAATTCGGAACAAAAGCTCAAAAATGTGTCTTAAAGTTGTCAACTTATGGAGTTAGGTATATGGTTTGGCTGGAACTGATCAGAAAGGTCTGATTGGTTATCGCTCTCACGTTACATTTTTGAAGTCTTGACACATTCCAATGGTGATCAGCCACTGCGAGTACGTTTTCGGTTGCACTCGCTTAATCACGTTGAAGGTTTAAACCGAATTGACCTTCTGATTCCCTACCACCATGCTTATCACATGCTTGGTGTTGCATGCTTTACTTCAAAATCACAAACACCGTGCCATGTGGAGCACGACCCGAACTGCACAACCCATAGGGCATTGAAAGCACTCGCTAACGAAAAATTCAGCAGCAAAAGACTCAAGTTGTGCAAAGTCCTCTCCAATATGAGGCATTCCAGTCGTTATTTGAGCTTTGTGACCACGCTTCCAATCGCGAACAGCGCAGCTACTTTTATCAGGGACTGTATTCGCAACCGTGCTCGTCCAATGACCTATTGGAAAACCGTATAGGAGCTAACGGATATCAATAGAATACTAATACCAATAAGTACCAACGCACGAAGCCATGTTGACTTCTTGCAATCTACGTCAATAGAACTCGAATAATTTACGACCTTGTGTGCTTCAGCCGTTGAAGAGTTACCTATAGATGAACACGAGGGATTTGATGGATTTGTGACCTATTGTCCTAAGCAAGGAAGAGAGAAATAGCAACGGGAATTAAAGATCTTCTGGAGCCTGTCTTGATTTACACAGTCCTCCCAAATAGGCCAGGATGATCCAGCCATAACTTTCTAGATGCTACATTGCGCAATTCTTTGTTTGGACTAGTCGAGTCCGAAATTTCGTACTCAAAGTTACGTACCCAAACAAACAGAGATTCGTGGCCAGGGTGAAGCTATTTCAAGTCATACCGGCCAACTATCACCTGCGTCAAGGACGGACTACCGCAGCTTGGAACGGTCTAAGCCGTTGCTCATTGTTACCACTGACCGGGCCCCATATTCCATCGAAGCCACCTATATCACCTGCAAGTTGAGATTCTTACATGGCAGAACTAATTTGATTCCAACCACATGAAGGTTCCGGTGCAGTCAATGTCAATAATACAGATTATACTCAAAAGTTGTTAATTCGAGCACAAGATGGGAACGATACCGGCGAATGGAACCAGTATGACCGATTGCCTAAAACGTCTAGTGAATAGCGGGTTGGTTATATTGAATTATGTCAACCTGAGAATCTAACGTCAACGGCCTCGGTTATTCCTCTCGTCTATGGGCTTCTATAGAAACTCAGACAAGACGGTCCAGTATGGGCAGTTCTCTCAATAATGCAGCGGGCGTCATGAAAGGGTAGAACGTTGTCAGAGTGTGACGGTTTGTGCTCCTCAGTGACCCATATTCAGGTTGTTTGTGTGAAACGCCTGGTTTGATATCAGATCAGACTGGCCACGTTGGCCCTCACGTGGTTTCATCAACCTCGTCGCCCTCCAGCTTGCAACAGTCCGAGTGAGACAGGCTGCTAGTGAACCGCAATCTTTTTCCGATATCATCCTTTAACTCCCTGTCCTCTTAAGTGAGCACTTATCTGTTCGTGGGCGAGATGGCCCAAGTGCTTAGCGCGAATTTACTGACGGACGGTTCGTGGTTCGAAACCGGCCTCTGCCTCTCGATTTTCCCTGTCTAGGCTCGGGCAACCTGGTGGTATCCCAGTCCTCGTGCAACCTTCGAATGGCATATCAGCTAGGCACCGAAAGGGTGTTACAGCTGAGCGAATATCTGTACATGTATGCCAGACTTGCACCCCGAAGTGATAATAACGTGTAATTCTCACATCTGTTACCTCTTAGAACCTCCCCACTTTTTATCGCAACCACTGAACTGCGAACTATGAAGTAAATCGGCCTGCATGCTGCTCCACATCCCCAATGGTTGTTCGCTGTGTTCCCGAAGCTCAACCGCAAGACCCAAAAATCTCAACTGAGCCTCCCACACGTTCGTGATATCAAAGCTACCGACTACGAAACTAAGCCGATTTTGCAGCCGGTTGCCCCCGCCTTGAGATAGCTCTCAGCAATCAAGACCAAACTTCTTTGGCTGGATCCCGTAAACCCCTAGCTTCGTGCCTGTTGCTTGTCAACTTCCATGAGAACCGGGAACAGCCGAACTAATTCTCGTTTCCGGTAGGCTTCTCGGAAAGAGCTAAAAGCAAACTCCCCAATTCGCCGTCCTCAAAGTTTCCAACCCACACGACAAACAATCTTACCTCAAAGCTTTGTAAGCTACATACCCAGGAGAAATTAACCGTAAGATGGACGAGATAAACAGCAGGAAACAGCGCGTGAGCCCACGTCAAATAGGCATTGGTGTTCGTGATACGCAATATTGCTTCCGGATGCGGGACACTGTATCCCTCCAGAAGTTTTGCATATCCTAAATGCGGACAGAGAAGCCTGGTGGAAGCAAAGCGCCAGGGAAATGGATGAAGCTGGTGCAGCTGGGAATATTCAGTAGCTATTGCGCCTCACTGACGATGTCACCTCGATTGGTGATGAAACGCTTGCAATCCACCTGCCAAGCTCGGTGAACAGACCAACAACCAAACAGCGCACCCGAGTTACCTACACTATTGTCGCATTAGACAGTTTACCATCAAAAGTAATTTTGGCATTTGATATTCAACATGAACCAGCATCTTCAGCTCAGCTCAGCTGGGTATTCTCGACAGTAACTTAGTCGGCCGTCCGCCTCTGTCCTTCAGATGACAGACTAGACTTCGACGGTGGTTTGTGCGTTTAGACCCTCCCCCAGTTTCTGGAGTACTGGTATACATTTCTGAGCTCCCAATCCGCAAGGCCAAATGAACTCCAATCTGTGCTGTTTAAAATACGATGATGAATCTGTGTTTTGTCTTGGTTAGGTTCTTTAATTTGAGAGTAGGGAGGTTCCCCTGACAACTAGGCTAATTACTCATCATGCGTTTGTTCGATGTCAGTTCCAACCATAGAAATATAGGTCCTAACTATTTAATTGATAGTTCGACGCCAAACCTTGGGGTTAATCTGAGAATACCAAACAGAATATCGTTTACCAGAGCACGTTACTTCATATGCTTTGATTTGCTTTGGATAAATTCACGCATGCTGCTGACTAATAGTTACGGTTGTCACTGACTTCAAAAATGTCTTCGATATCGTGGATAGAGAGGCTTTCATATTCAATGCTTTCTTCAACATGCTGTTGGTCGCGTTATTGTTGACGTTGCCTCAAATGAATCTTCACAACTAGCTGGTCGCCACGGTTGTCCCATCCTTTAATATTTGTCCAGTTTTATCACTTGTGTCATCATGGGACTATGAATCGAAATCACATCAGCAGAGAAGTTAGTGAGCTTGAATTATGCGGACACTGTTTTTCTGTTACTTGGCGATATTGTGTCCATACAAACTATCCCAGCGAAAATGTCGGAAATGGTGCGTTGTTCTGGCGTGCGCTCTGCACCCTCCAGGTTCAGTCTTTCTTCGGTATTCCCCACTCCCCTGTGCTGTTTTGATGCTTCAGAAAGAGTTGTTTAATGAATTTGCATAAAGTGACAACGGTATAAGTCGTGGCTGCGTTGTAGCAGATGAAGTCAACATACGCGTCATCAAGACGCGAGCAGTCTGTGGTAGTTTGTGTCATCTTGGGCGTCAGGGTCGACATTCAATCAGGTCTAAAATCCAAGTCCACAAAACGACTGTGGGGATCGGTCCTTGGCTTCGACGAGGACTTCTTTAAATATTTGGCTGTATTTGTCTTGTAGCACGGCAGATGATGATGTCAAAGTCTGACACTGCGCAGTAGTCGAAGGAAGTGTGAACCGGTAAGTAAACATGGACCCTACGTTTGCATCGAAAACGTCAGTTTAATGGTATGCAATAACGTTCCTCTCTCTTTGAATTGAAACACTATATCTGTGGTTTAGAAAAGTGAACATTATTTCATCAATGTCCATCACAAATCTCAACTGGTTACTTGTGTGGCACATTTTTAACGTACACTACCGATTGTGGCATCCCTAAACAATGACAAATAGACCAATTTTCGCCCCGCCCCCAGATGAAGGTCTTCATGAATAGACCCGAACAGGAGAAATTCTGCTCCGTAATCGAACTAACGTCGCGCTACATACTCTATACTGATGACAGTTTTATGGCATCTGGTTCACAAGTCACACTCAGAAAATTTTCAACATCGGTTCATTCAGTCATCCATTTCACTGTGGAGTTCTTCTTACGTTGTATCGATTCGGATACCGCGTCATGCTCTCTAGGCACACATGTCCTGAAGGTCAACCCAGTGCACACACTTTAACAGCTTTGCGAATAGGTAGTAGGAACGGAAACTATTTAATGGTCCGGTAAATAGGACTCACAAAATACTCGCGGATGACATTATATACCACCTCCCATCATTCGGTCACGGAATCCACATATCGTGGTCATGCGTTGCTCGACCGGCTCATCGAGTGATGAGCTCTGATGGAAATTTCACTCATCGAGTGAATGTCACTCCTCTTCTGCGCTACGTATAAATTGTTCCTAGAGTGAGGATGGGGAATTTCCAACAAATTCAACTAAGTGAAGTCAATCAACACCCCTGTGTAGCTACGTCATTGATTCACATTGCATGTTGTGTGTTTTCAGTATTAGTCGACTTGATTACTTTAGTTTGTTCTCGAAATGCGTGATCGAACGTGTTCAGATTGTTTCCTACACGATGGTCAAAAGGATTTTATACTTGGGTACTCTTTATATCCGTCCCATAGCTTGATGTCAGTGGCCGACATCAATGTTGAGGGATCCTTTTCATCTGAGAAAGTAAATTCGAAATAAGCAAGGTAGCCCACTTGACTATTTCGGTCCAGTTTGCCGCTATTCCGCACTAAGATCACCTATAACCGCATGTTGCATATATTGCTCCACGTCTGAATAAATCCTTGACGCTAACTTGAGTGCAATTCAACACACTAGCGACCGAAAACCCGATTTCCGAAACACAAGTTCAGGAAACAAGTCATCAGCTATTCCGCTATATAAAAAATACCAGCATGAAACTTTCCACCTATCTGTTACAACTGCTCGGTTTCCACATCTATCACATGACGGTGACTCCTTTTTTCTAGGGGACAATCTCGACTCACATCATCCTGTTCCGCTATCCTGCTGTGCCATGCAGAGAATTAAAGTCAAGTGCATCGCATCGCTCCATGTTCTGGGTCGAAAATCCAGTCACCATGCTTTTTGTCACACCCTCTACCACCTGTGTTGACGCGATGACCATCATGCTGTGATCACGAGATTGCTCGACCGCGTGAGGCAAGGGAAAATTTGTTGACCTTGAAATTCCGCTGGGTAGTACACAGACATAATACACACACTAACTGCCACGCGTGACCAGCTTGACAACGCCACTGCAGTGCGGACGCCAACAAATAACCTTAACAGGCACTGCATTGCCCACAGTCAGCGGGGGTGAATGCGTCAACCAGTGAGTTTCCTGTCATGGGTTCGAATACCTCATACTTACGTCATCCTCAACAGAGTTATTACTTCGGTGAGGTGCAATTACGTCGGTTCATTTTCGAAAAAAGACTATTTTGAAAGTAGACAAAGCAGTAAGGAGAAAGTGTTCCGGAGTTAGTGTTTACGGTCTTGATGCCTGTTCTTTCTGCAAATGAATTCGAGTGATTGCAGGTGGAACATCATACCTGCGTGATGCCTAAACCAACATAGTTTGCTAGTCTCCAATGAAACATATCGAATCAGCGATTGGGATTCTCGGTCCATCATCTCTGTTGATAATCACATAGGATACGTCGAGCTACCGTGCTTGTTCTATTCGCGATGAAGTAAGCTGGATTTGGTAAATTTAATCGCAAAAGTCGGTGTTCTTATATTTGCTAGAATGTATTTCGGAAATTGAACCTGTTTTCTATAGGCGCTAGCCTTCCTACCATCCTTAAATTCCTTGGTTTCATCTCTTCCACACCTTTCGGCCAAGTTACACGTTGTCCACCTCGTAGTTTGCACCGTTCTGAAGGAGGCAGGGAAAACAAAACTCGTTTCGGTGGACGGTGTTTCGACATGCGTTGCACATGAACGAGCCCCCGTATTTGATAGTGGTGAATCTTTTACGCGACTGAAATACCTGCTGCACAACCAATTACCCGTATTCTACTCATCTCGATGCAAATTCTTTGTCGCCTTCATACGCCATGCCAGCAGCACTTCTGAGACACCAGTGGTGAAAAAACCTGGAGATGCCTCAACTCATCACAACCATACCGTAGCCTGGCATACACAACCCTTGAACCCAGGGATTATACCGTTTTGACGCCACAAGTGACTTGATTCAGGCCTTTGAGATTATTTTACTGCCTTCATCATACACACTTCCGTCAGACAACCATACCGTAGCCTGGCATACACAACCCTTGAGACCCAGTGATATACCGTTTTGACGCCACAAGTGACTTGATTCAGGCCTTTGAGATTATTTTACTGCCTTCATCATACACACTTCCGTCAGAGATAATACAAATTATCCACAACCTGCAGTGATTCGCCTTGAATTGTGAGGGAAGGCTCAGAGACTGCACCTTCTGGTGCATGGTTTGCATTTTGTAGGTTCAAGTCGCATGCCGAAAGATGATATGCTGCTAGTCAGTTTGCTCAACGGAATTCGTTCCTGGCGTTCGTCTTGAAAGATGAGGGAGATGTCGTCTCTATACCACAGATCGACGCGGTTCCCACTAGCAACCCCTTGAACACCGGGATTCTGAGGAACCTCAAGCGTTCTCTTCATTATTTCATGAACGGCTAAATTGGACAAGAATGGAGAATGTAGGTATCCTTACTGGGTACAACGCTTTGTAGGGAAGCCTGTACGGAACTCATCATACACTCTCGCGCGTCCACATATGTGTGAAAATGCAGGCCGGATTACGTTCAGAAACTTCTGGGGCACACCCTGTTGAGCAACTATAGTTAACAGCACTGACCAATAGACAGAATCGAATGCACCATTGAAGTCAGTTAACACCAAGACTGTGAGTTGTCTGCAAATATGGGGTTCTTCTAACACGTAGCGGAGTGGGGAGACGTGACCGACGCAAACTCCATCCAGTCAAAATCCTGCGTGATGCTCACGGATCAAGAATTTGGGAGCTGCTGTAAGACAACGAAGGATCAATGAAGTCAGAAGCCTTGTTACAATGGAATTCAAGCGGATACCTCTGTAGTTACCGTAATCAGTGCGAGTACCCTTTTTGAAAACGGGCACCATTATCAAGTCAACCCGATTGTCTGGGATAGCCTCTTACTCCCATATGTACTCCCATAGGTACTGGCTTAGGAGTTGAACGCCTTCCATGAGGAGAAAAGCCTGGAAGTTCGTCAGGATCAGGAGCACGACGACGCTTGAGCAGAGGTATTCACTCTTGAAACTGAAGGGAATTCCTTACCCTTTCTAATAGAGATTGACGGTCTGGATTGGAGGCAGAAGGTGACCAATCCAATTGTTGTTCGAACATCGTCAGAATTCTCTATACGAACTCTTCAGTGCAGTGCGACGTGTTTGTCAATACTCTCCCTACCTACATGGTTTCGGAAGCGATTACGGACAACATGAAACTCTTTAACCGATAACCTCCCCGATCCCTTCCCACCATATAAGCAATCGTCGCTCGATCATTCGCTTGTTAGTTATCCGACTGATGTGTGTTATCCAACACACTACCCATTAACAGTAAGCGAAATAACACGGACAAATCCACAAGCATAAGTCCTTCGTGTATAACAGCTCCCAGCGATCCCATTCTATGTCAAACTGGCAAACAGACAGCGCTCTCCCAGCCCTTATACCCTCGTGCATTTGACGCATGGTCTGTATTTGAAACATTCATTAAAGAGTCGCATTCTAAGGAGGAAACCATCTCTTTCTGTTATGTCTTCTGATTCGCCGGCCTGTGGTATCTGCTGCTGACCCGCTCCAGCGCCTAGTGAAGGAGAGAAAAAGGCCCACGGAAGGGAACACAATAGCTATATTCCAAAAAAGCGGTTGCGAGAGCGCGAGTGCGTGCGAGTGCGAAAAGTACAACGGCTTCAAGCATTTTATTGGAAGGACACTGTCTGAACTTGGTCCAATGCTGACGCACGCGGTCTGGCTTTAGTACGAGGCAGCGACGTGCTGCATGTTGCGGAGGCGTCGTCTGTCCTTGATCAACGCTGACTCGCGCTGTCTGGGTTTGATGCAAGGCTGTGACGCGCTGCATATTGAGGGGGCGTTGTCTGTCTGGTCAACATCTAGCGGAGCTGAGAGTCTCGGTAGATTTCGGGCATTCAGTGGTTGCTTTCAGGAGGCTGACCTTCCTGATACATTTAAATTTCCATCAGTCCAGTGATCCAGATGTGATGACTGGTGAAATGTGTGGTGTGAGAGTTGCACTCAACCCCATAGCTGAACGCCCTTCACAGGACTTTAATTCAGTGAACACTGGCATTTGCACCAAACCAAGTTCAAGACAACTCGAAAAAATGGTGTTTTTATAAAGGAAACTACTCACAAGGTTGCTGAAAACTCTTCGACTGCCCACGACCGATTTCACCCTTTTTGGGGCTGATCTGGTATGCGCAGTCCCCGATTTTCCGTCAACCTTATGTTCTACTTGAACCCAAATTGCACTGTTTTTAGTGTCAGCTTAGGTACCAACGGACTACTGGTCTGAAGGTGAGATGGACTGATTCGTCAAGAAGGAAGCACTAACTCTATCATTCTTGCGTGCGGTACGAATACCCAAGTCGGTCGTCTGAGTGCCTTGGAATCACATTTGAGCGATCGATTCAGAATCGATGCTCGTCAAACAGACAACGGAGAGCGACTTCTCCAGTGTGTTGATCGTCACCTGTCTCTGGCCCGTACTTTTCATCAGAAATATCCCCACTTTTTAACGTGGTGACCACGAAGTGCAAATCAACCATTGACCCAGCTGGATCACGTGGCAATCAGCCACCGGCGGGCAGCCACGATTCGAGACTACCGTTCCTTGAGCACATAACCTTATTCCAAACACGCCATTATGGGAGCACGCCTGACAGTCCTCTTTCTATCATGTCCTCACAAGTCAGCAAGTAACATATCAATCCACCACCTTCGGAGAACTAAGATAGCTAAGTAGTATTATTCTGAACTAACCCAACTACTTTCCGGAATGAACCAAACAGCACTGGTAACGATAAAGAATGGAAAAATGTGTAAAGAGTAAAGGAATCTGTGCAACTATCGCATGATTACAATGGTAAACGCGGACACCTCAAATTCCAAATAGTGAAGAATCCAAGTCCACCATAACATTCGGTATGGTGGGCGGTGAAAGCTCAGAAGATGGAGGAGGCTTTTTCCACCATGAACAGCTGGGCTCTCCACCACCTAATTCGATCCACTAGTCAAACATAGGCAACTGTCATAGAAACGATAAATGAAAGAACAGTTTCGTAACTTATTCTCAAAAACACCGGTTGAATATATGGTCCGAGCGCTTCAAAGAACCCCTTAGCTGGCCTCCTGCAACACAGCCCCTGGAGACGGTGAGCACGGAGCAGTGGAATGGAGTTCTCGATCGCCCTTCAGAAGAAGAAACAAAGTACGAAATATCCATCCTAACGCGTCAGAAGGCACCAAGACCGATCAGTTGGTATCCTTCTGTCTTCAAAGTTGGTGGGGAATCTTCAACTACCCATCCAAGAAAATCTACCGGTACTATATATAGTATGAGGAGATAATGCCCGCCGAGTTAGAGCAACAACAAATCGTCCCCTATCATCAAAGCGCGGAAACAACCGTGTCATTAGCCTGGTATACTAGACAGAGTGGGATGCAGGTTCATGAGAACCAAGGTGAGTTCCTTCTTTCAAGATAATACGTCAACCACATTCACTGCTCGGCATATTCTGGAACAGTGACACTTGTTGCAGCACCTAAGGACCATTAGGAACTATGACAGTGCCTATAGAACACAGGTGTCTCCCATATATTCTCTTCCCCCTTGAAGAGTGAACTCTAACTTCCGTGGGCACCTGTAGGTCTACTGGAAGCTCTTGAGCGAGTTTACTTCAACTGGTGTTACGCAGGGCTCCCCTTTTCCACCTTTCCTCTTCAACCTCGTCATTGATATGATAATGGAAGACCCACTCCCAGCCTTTAATACCTATGGGGTAAAAATTCTCCATGGGCGTTCATTCTCGGATATCTAATATACAGATAACATAGCTCTTCTTGGATCTGACGCTTTGTTAGGGCATGTACTATGAATTCCAAAGGAGCGTCTGCTTCGTAAAGCTGTTTTCACCCAGCCATGTGCCGAGTGGGAGCGACCAAGTGTTGAACAGTGCATGAGCTGGCAACGAAGTATGAAAGCACTGACCAGTAAATTGAGTTGGAAGGATAACTGCCTCCTCCATGGATGAAGACCCTGACTCAGTTTATCACTGGTTAATTGCACTGGCAGGAATGGCCCGATTGCGCAGTCCGCGGCGCTTCTGCATCAAAGCTATAGCCTTTAATATGTAGCTGCTTGGTTTCCCTTTCCTTCAAATAACGAGACTGAATCAATGCAAACTAACTGATTGTGCGATAGTCTCCGGTACGTTGTTTGTAGGTGATAAACTGAACTGAAGTGAAGGAAGGAAGCTGAAGTAACCACCAGCAAGCCAGAGAATTGCATGAACTCAAACTGTGAAGAGACTCACTAGCATGACCTTTGCCTAAACTGAGCCAAAGGATCGTTAAAAATCCTAGATGATGTTACTGGTATTGCGCAAAGTTGAACCCAATAACCCATGTTTTGCGAATTCTGATACTAACTTCTCCATTCCTCCACAACTGATGTTTCATTTGAAGACCAAGCTTTGATGACGTATAGTACTGGATTTCCGTCACGAATAGACTGGACCTTACGGTGGTGTGGCGGTTTGTGTACCTCGGAGCTATACTAGTGAGTGTCCTGCGACACAGAGTCTCCCATACCAGGTTAGTCAATGGTTAGAGGTCTGACGAACACAGTCTCCTGGCCCTCCAGGTTGGGGATCGGAACATGTATGGCGACTTGTTCCGTAGAAAAGGTAATGCATTTGCATTTCACCGCCAAACATCGCTGCCTTGCGGTTAGGCTTTTGAGCCAAAGGCTTTGGTTGAGGACCCTAATCGTTCTCCTGTCTAGGTGTGGGCGCCCTGGCAGTATCCCAGCCCTCGTACAACCATGACCTACACAACTAACAATATTCTCATGCCACATCGGCCGTCGCGTGGTGCCATCAGCCGGGTCGCCTTACTTGCTGCATACAGCAGGGCGAGTAAGCGAAAACAGGCTACTGCTGACGCCTCCCTTCTCTCTCCTTCACATACTTTTTCTTCCCCCTCTCCCAACCCCA